AGCAAAATTTGAACAGTAAAATACATTTCCAACAAAAAAATTACTTGATTTTGATTAAGTCAGTGCCTAACAAAGCGTCCAAGGCAACAGAACGGGCAACAGCTGCTAATTGCTGGATCGCGTCATTCCTGTCGAAAAGATTACCATCCATTTTGTACCGATAAATGCCAGCTCGCCGATGCATACCAAAAATCAAACATTTTCTGCAAAAAAAGCCAACTTCGCAGAAAAAATAAATATAAATCTCGAGATTCAAAAAAACCCCTTCACGAAAAAAAAAATTATCAAGACCGCCTACATAATTAGTGCGAAAATCCCGTGTAAGTATGCTTTTACACACTGTTCTTTGGCCCTGAGCTTATTCTTGGGTCCTAAGCTTCTTTTTCTTCTTCGGTCCTGAGCTGCTTATCTCTAATTACTACCCCCCAATTTGTTCGATTTGAAAGCATCTTTTCTTTAGAGAATATTCGAACTATCTTTTTTCCCCTTGCGATTAATAAGCCTCAGTGGGCTACCACAGGATTAGTTATTCTGTTATCTCCAGTGATTACCCAAACAAATTCTTTGTCTATCAATATGGGAGTTTTGTCGCACTAAATATTATTCATGATCGCATAAGATCCATCATCTGTCACACGCTCAAAATAAATCCTAACATATTTTTTTTTAAAAAAAAGAACTCATCCAGAAAAATTAGAAAAAACCAGCACATAAAAAGACCCACTCTACGTTTGCATCTTGATTTTCGTCCACATAATCTCCAGTCATACACTGTGAGACGATCACGTTGAAGAAGTGAATAAATGTCGAGATCTGAAAAGCCAAATTAAAGTGAAAGAAAATTAGAAAAAACTGACATAAAACTGCACAAAAAAAACATCGGAATTCGAAAAGCCAATATGACTCATTCGACTCAATATTAAAAAACTGAACCATTCAAGAAAAGCAGTGATAAGCCAAGAATTGAATGATTTTTTCAATAAATGCATGCGGCACTTTTGATGATTAAGAATAGATTCTATTCATGTTATTTCACGAAGAACCTAGTATCTAAGGTTTCCTAAAATTTTAAGATTCTACGAATAGGTTCTTAAGAATTTTGCGCTTCTTGGGTCGCAACGATGATTTTATAGCACCCAAGCAGTTTGAGGCGAAAAATTGTCCCAAGTACTACATTCCACTTTATGGATTTCTCACAACGAAGTGCCGGCATTTCCGACAATACAGCAAATTTCGATCTGTAGCGCTGGCTCTCATTATAACACCAATAGCAACTAGTAAACCAAAGCAGTAAACTTTAACAGAAAAATAAGCGAAAAAGAAGCAACTTACGTGAGATGCTTGGCTGCTTAAGGATGGGTCCTCGCATGCCACCACGAGTCTGCTGATCAAGTCGGACATATAGCCGAACATAACAAATATCTAAAAAGTATTTCAGCCTTTCAAGACATTCGAATCGAATCTGTTAGAACTGAAGCAGTTGCGACTTGATAAAAGGACAGCTGGTCAAGGCAAACAAGCAGTCAACCAAGCATGTACAAACGTAAGCAAAAAAGAAGTAAGAAAGGAAAAAAGCTAAATACAGGTATGTCAAAACCTATTCGCTCTCTACAAAAGACGGAGGCACTCGGAAAGTAACTTGACTAGTAGCAAATGCCAAAACCAGCAATCTGCTAACGACTTTCTTTTGACAGTGCTTAATTTCTGGCATATGACAGTAATCAAATTTACTGTCGAAATGAACAGAGGATCGCAGAAAGATTTTGCCTCCTCTCCGCCGCCTCTCCGGCGGAGTCAAACCTTCTCACCTGCCGTGCAGACGTAGAAAACACGCCAAAAGCCGACAAAGAAGCCACCACAAAGAAAAACATGTAAACTGCCTGCGGGAAGACAGCCAAGAAACGAAAGATGCATTCTGCCTTGAAAGGCATATACACAGTAGATGTGCTGTCAGATTGTCCTTAGAAGGATTGATGGCGCAGTGGAAAGCACGTCTTGTACGAAAGTGAAGGCAAGCGGTTCGATTTCCCCCAGTGCACTGCTCACTTTTGAAAATGAGCCTTGTCAAGGATATGCACTTCAGCAGTGGAACTTTTCACTGCGCTATGTCCGCCGGTAGTAATTAAGGTAAAAAACTGGAACAAAAAAGTTTTCCTCAGCTTTTGTTAAGCATAGAATCAAAAAAATAACTACTGCTCAGTGGTGCAATTCATTCAGCACTTCTGGCATAGTTGTCAATGATCCTTATCTATGAGAGCTGCATGAAAAGTAAACTCAAGCAAAAATTATAAGGATCCAAAGCGAATGAAAAACATTCTTACTGGCTCAAAATCATTATTATTCGCTAAATCTGTCATGGTCCATAATCCATATGCGCAGCTTTGCAACACCAGTGTTACCAGCTGTTTGCTCGGCCTCCTCGTGCTTTGCACCCAAAATCTAAAATACAAAAAAATGTTGGCGATAATTTCTTTTGCGTTTTGTTTGCTCCTTCAAACGCCCTCTGTGTTAGCTCTCTGCGGAAACACAGGCGAAGTAGCCCGTTTTGGTAGCTAAACCAACGGCAACCATGCGAAATTAAAGCTGCCAATGGTTCCTTTCTTTTTCACGGTAAAACAAACTAGTGGCATGTGCCAGTACCAATTTACCATCGAAACGAATGCAAGAATCGCAAAGGGACTAATTATACCACTGGTGAAGCCGAACTCCCGGCTATTTCATGACAACAGTTCTATTTCTCCATTGCGTCATGTCAGCGTGTGCTTTCTAAGTATGGAAATTGGCACATAAAAAAGCAGTAATTCTAAAAAACAGGCTGAAGTTAGCAGTTATTTCAAAAATTTAGAACCCAAATTTTTTGCTGAATGTGACGAAAAATGTGTGAACAGGGTGCCTGGTATCTCGATTATCGCAACCAAGATTTGTAATACAGGAGCACCCCCTTATACGTTACATCATTTACAATTAGCTCCTATTTCCACGGCTGACAAGCCGTTATAGAAAAGGTGATTGATGAGCTAAAATACTGCACTAACTGCGGAAACAGTGCAGGAGCGCAGCATTCAGTTTTCAGAAAAGGAGATAACAGGATAAAACCACGATCATTAGTGTGCTAGCCATAGGATGATGCAACTCGGTCACAGAAACCAAAAAAATAGAAAGGTGTTTTGAAGTAGGAAGAAGAATCGAGGAGAAAATAATGCTGAAAAATATCGCGACCCCAATTGTTATTTTATTTGACTAGTGTGTGCCTCGTTTGTAGGTGGGT